GCCACAGGATGGAGCTCAGTGCAGGCTGCAACACGCTTCTAGGAAGCTGGATAAATGCTCAAGCATTTCTCTGTCACTGATGTCCACGCTGCTGCGTCTCGATTGCTACGAGCATCCATGCTCATGCTTACTCAGTGGGTCTAAATCCCGTTGCAGCATCTGCACCACTGATTTGCCTCCAGTTAGATGAAAGCCAGAATAACTCAAAAAATCATTTAGGCGAAGATCTTGATCATATGTGAAGAAGTATAATACAGAAAAAGCAGGGAAAAGAGCCAGTCTTTGTAAAAAAAAAAAAAAAAAAAAAAAAAAAAAGAGCATGTGAACTCTACAGTTTGAATTTTGCTCCACTTATTCTGTTCACCGTCTTTACAGAGCATTCTCACACAGAAGAGTATTTTTAACAAAACTAAGCAGAACCTGCCAGAATGGATGCTCAAAGCTAATTTTACCCTGGATAAATGGGACAGAAATGACATATGAGAGGTTAAATGGCACATGGAGGATTTTTTTCTCTTTTTAAACTCTACAGTTTGAATTTTGCTCCACTTATTCTGTTCACCGTCTTTACAGAGCATTCTCACACAGAAGAGTATTTTTAACAAAACTAAGCAGAACCTGCCAGAATGGATGCTCAAAGCTAATTTTACCCTGGATAAATGGGACAGAAATGACATATGAGAGGTTAAATGGCACATGGAGGATTTTTTTCTCTTTTTAAACGAAGCATGACAAAGTTAGTTAGTATTAATGGGGCTGATCTTTCTCACTCTAGAATCTCACTGATTATAAAGATTTAAAACGATAAATCATCAAGAGTTCTCCTTCTACCTGAATACAGTGCATAATGAGAAACTTCTTTACTGAAGGAGTTAAAGGGTTTTTGCAATAATACAACAAATGAGCTTAATGCAACAAACAGCAGACACATTCTGTGGCAATTTCCCCAAAAACTTCAATCTATGGGGAAAAAATCTTGATTTATTATATAGCATTTGGACAGTTAGGAAAGAAAATTTGCCAAAGATCAGAATAATCAACTCTTTCACCCAAGCAGTTTTTTATGAAAGAAAAAAGCACAGAATGGGTCTGAGCAAAATAAATAAAAATTCCACACTTTCAACCAAAAGAACCCTTTGCGTCATTCAGAAATATTTACAGACATCCATAATCTTTTATCATTAGAAAGACACTCTGGCCCTTAAAATTGCAACTTGCTCTTACATTTTCATTTACTGATGGCCTTTAAACCAGCGGGTATCATTAGCTTGTGGCGTCTATTCATGCCATGTTTGTCAAATGCAGGAATTCTTAAAACTGTGCCTGGCCTAGCTCTTTTCCCCCTTCCCTTGACACATCTCTTTTGCGAAGCTGTCATCTGTGGATTTTAAACATATCAGTATATCATTTCGAATAGTATCTGTAATATGATTCATTGTTATTAATGTCTGAAACACAAGTTTTGATTGATTGAAAGGCCAGTTAATTCCAAAATTAATCTGCAAAGGGCTAGCTGTTTTACTACAACTTGCCTCTGCCTGCTTTGGACCTGAAGGAGGGCTGCTAACACACACAAACATTAGCCATTAATTGCAAATATACAAGGCTCCCTTGAGGCGCAGCAAAGGCATGAGTGCAGCACCCTTCCGAACACCCCTGCTCTTCCACTTGCCTATTTAATTAGCACACAATGCAGGCCACAGAATTTCTCTGCAAAAGGTGTTGTGTACTTTGGACAAAAAAGAAAGAAGAGAAGAAGTTGCTTTAAAACTCAATCAAAAAACCAGCTCCTTGGCTAAACGGCACTTTTAATAAAGATGTTTCCACTGTTTGTTTGTTTATCAGAAAAACTGTTACTCCCTGGTGTTTTGATTTTTGTTTCTGTGCACAAGAAGGAGAGGAAAAAGGGTTTTACTAAGCAAGTCTTTCAGTAAGACACCAGATGATGGATAGTCAAACACAGAGTCTCCTGTAAACACAGAGGGAACCAAAAGGTATGAACTGACTCATAATTGTGTCAACACAGGTCGCAGACCCTTGGTTTATTTCAGCCTTCCTGTTTTTCACAGATTTCTTTTCACACTACACTATTTTTTTAAGACATAGACTCTTTTCAGTACATCTTCGTGTGGTGCAAAAGCACATACATTTTTACACCAGAATGAGGGCATTTACACACACATGTAGACTAAATTTCCACAATTACAACAGCAGCATTTTCCATCCATGGTTTACGGTTGCATTCAACTAAGCAGTGCCTTTCTTCACAGCAGTTCCTTGCCAGCTCTAATTGAAAGGGAGAAAATGTCCAACCCGTTCCTACCCCCAAGCTTTTCCACAGAGGCTCTTGGGAAGTATCCAGAAAAGAGGAGTGTAACAAAACCTCAAAAGCCCAGTCCACCAGTTCATGCAATCCAGTAAGGTTCAGTATGTCTTTTTTTAACATGTGACAAGGTGGTAAGACTGGGTCTGGGCTGTCATCTGAGCAAAAGTACTAGAAGGTGACATATGGCAAAGAGGTCTGTGATGAGCAGAAACCATTAATTTTTGTCTTGATGCCTACAGTTGAATTGACGTTGTAGTCTTTTCCTCAACAGAAAAATGCATAGAGTTTTTCTTCTCTGCTGGCTGCAGATTTTCATAGAAATTGGAGGAATAAGCCTCTCTGAGGCCTCTGTTTCATTATCAAATTTGACTGGCACTGGCCAGTCAAGGTGTTAGGCTGAAAAGGTGTTAGGGGAGGGACTGATGAGCAGAAACACACAGTACAGCTGGATTCATTGCAAATAATACAGCCGACCGGCTGACAGGTTATTCAAGAAGGCTGTTTCAAAATATTCCCTCACAAAATTACCTGTGGAAATACCTTGTCAGCTCTTACCTAACAGTTCATTTAAAAGGACTTGCCGAAAATAACAAGTGAAGATGTGTAAAGCCAAGAGACTTGTTGGGCTGGACCATCTTCCTCAGCAGAGACAATAAAAGGAGTTTATAGTAACACGTCGTATTTGTCACTGGCGCTCCAATAGCCATACATAGCCCAGTGCATCCGGGACGCGCAGGACCCAGTGGCCCCAAGACAACGGATCAGCACGTGCAACTGATCCATGCCATGTGCATCAGACGAACCACACGTGTGCAAAGGACTCCATGGTATAGACCCAGAGAGTCTGGCTCATCCTAGATGGGTCAGATTCACTGTATATGCGAGGGGGAGCTTATCTACTTAAAAACAGCAACTATTTGTCCAGGATGTTTCCATCTCAGCTAGATTAACTGAAAAATTGTAGAGCCAGCAAGGACAGATGACCTTACTCAGACTGAGCAGTGTCTCACTCCTTGTGTAATCACACTCAGCTCAGTGGGAAAGCTATTCAATACAAATAAGAGTTACAGAACCAGGATTTGGACCTTATTTCCCATAGTATAAAAATCAGTTGCCATACTTGCCAATCAACAGTTAATCTTTGCAGCAACACCATCTCCACGAAGAGCATCACAAGGTGAAACTCCTGCCCTATTACTTCTCCAGTTCTTTCATGAAAAAATGCAAAACAAATTACATTTAGGATAACGCTGCCACCAAAAAATGCCAGAAACAGCATTTCAGAAACACAAACCTTGGGCAGACTTACTTTTTAAAACTAATCCTTTCATGATATTATTCCTCTGTAGAGAGCAAGAATCTTAACTGATGCAGTTTTCCCCTTTAGGAACCAAGATTAATGGAACAACAGAGAGAATACCCTACGCAAATTACAATATATTAAGTTAGATTCGCTTCCAGCAGATTCTGTAGCATCAGAAATTGTGCCAAGGTTTGTATGTCTGTAGAGTAGGTAAGTGGCCATGAAGTGGAAAAACCTCCTCTCTTTTCGCCTGCCTCTCCTCCCTTTCTTTACCCTCCTTTTAGCTCGACAGCAGAAGATGAAGGAAGTGAAATTTAGTGAAGGAGACCATGAAAAGAGTTTTGAAACATTCCACAAATTTTCTCTACATAAACATGCCGTGAATTTCGAATGTAAACAGTGCCAGGGCACTGTCAGTCAGACCCCAGGAGTTCACCCAAGTCAGACAAATTATGCTGCTTGCTATCTCAGTTGTTACAGTTTCTTGCCTTTCATTCATTCATTGCCAGTGCTAAGATTTATCTCAGCGTAGGAGAAAAAAGGAGCCTCAATTGCTGAAATTAACCTCTTCCTGTGAGGTTATACTGAGCTTTCCAGTGAGAATTGAGAAGTAGACATCTGCTATTACTGTTTGGCAAGGAAAGAGTTAGAAGTATGTTGCAATTTCCCAGATACGAGCAGGAAAAATTCTGTGTTATGGAAACGATCACTGCAAGTTCCATTTCCAAATCTTCAGTATTTGGCCCACATCAGTCAAATGAAGTAATTAAAAAAAAAAAGTTTTATGAGTCGTATGAAAAAATACACAAATACAGTGTTGTGATGTGAATACAGGACGGCACTGCTGAGCAAACCTGCCTGGCAGAGGGAAGTGGCTACGACTTCAAACATCATATCCAGAAAAAATTAATATCAACCTCCAACTGCATCAGAAATCTCACTCTTTTCACCATGTCTCCATTTTCTAGCTGATAAAGAGTTATTTCTTACAAAGTAATGCAGGATATGATGACAGGACCCGTTTCTGAATGACCTTTAACAGCCACATTGGCCCTGATATGTACCAAGCCAAAGTACCTGTCCCGTATGCCAGGTATTGTCTAACTGGAAAGTCCCCTTGGCTTTAGAGCCTGTGCACATAAAGCAAAGGGCTTGGCCACTGTCTGACCCTGCCTTGCAACAGCATCCTGCCTTGTTAGGAACCAGAAAATGTTTAGTTTGTATAGCCACATCACAGAGGCTGTGTGCGTTGCATGATCATCTTTAAACCGATCCCATTTAATAATGAGTATCTTTAACGCAGTTTTGTTGAGGCAGCGTTGAGAGCATATTTTATTTATGCAATACTCCAAGAAAGGAAAAAGCTCTTACCTATTGTTCTTCGGAGATCTTCACATTGGCTGATGTGAGGGAATTTCAAGATTTCCTTCCACTTTTTGCTTTTGCCTTTGCGTTTCCCTCCACCCCCTGCAAGGAAGGAAATATCAGGATTAGATTGCTTTGGGGGCTATGCCCAATCCAGAGTTTACCAACCCAGTTACAGCCCCTATGGATATCTTTAATAACTACAGCTGAGACATGGTGGAACTAGATGGAAACACAGATTACACTAAAGTTTCAGCTTACCTAGGCTGAGACAGGCCAAGGAGGCCACATCTGGCACCAAAGCAGGTTGCCAAAGGTTGGGAGTTCAGACTCGTGGCGCACCAGATCCAGTTCAGATAACAATGCCTGAACTGAGCATCTCCAACATCACCCCTACTCCAGCTGACAGCCGTTCCATGCCAGTCAAATAGTCTTGTAAAGTTACAGCTCACTTCTTCTCAACTTGGATCTCCCTCTCCTGGTTTGGGGATGAACCCTGACAACACCCTTAAAAAGTGCTGGAAACGGAAGACTAAAATTCAGCACTCGCCTTCCATCCCTCACTTAATGTACACTGCCACGACAGCATTATGGCTGGTGTTGCACACAGTGGTCCCAGTTACTTCACAGTTTTCTCCAGAAGGAGGAGAACAGTGGGAGAAATTTAATATCTTCATGTAGAAAAAATCTCTTTTTGTTTGTTTTTTCCCTTTGCACTCTTCCCCAAGTCTTCCTGAACCTGACCATCCTCACAGAGAAAATCCTAGCTGGCTTCCTGCAGCTGTGGGAGAATGAGGTCTGAGGTCCTCAGCCCCTCCACACACTCGCTGATGAATCTCCCTCATCAGCGTCCCTTCGTAAAGACTCTGCTGTAGGCATCACTGGTATCTCTAGGTGCCACATCTGAGCTTATTGAGCCAAGATACTTGCTTCTGGTGCTACTCTTCCATGCTCCTCACACTTCCTTTGTTTCCTTTTCCTTCCACCCCATCTCTCCAGTTCTTTTCCCCGCTCTTCTCTTTTCCTAGTCTCCCAGTGCTTCCTCCTCCTCCTCTCCTAGGTTGCCACATCAGAATACCCAAACCCTCATATTCACATTCTAGAGTCTGTAGATGCTTTTTCCCCATTCTTTCAAAACTTACACTGTTTGAATTCCTATTTTAATAGTTTAGAACCCCAGATGGCTCAACATGGAAGACTGAGGCCTGAGACTGCTGTCACAAGTGTAGCACAGCTCTGAGGACCTGTCTCTCGTGCCCTCTTCCTGGCTTGGAAGTGGGGAGGCTTCTGCACTGGAGTCTGACCAGTACAGGTAGCTTTTCCAGCATATACCACTTTGCTCCTTGCTGGGATCACTAGAGGATGCACTGCCTACAGGGCTAGGCTCCCTCAGCCCGAGCAATCCTAATGCAGGCCGACATGCTGTGCATGCTGTCCCCCTGTGTCATGCTAGATGGGCTCTCAGATTTGAAGCAGCTCAACTTAAGAGAATACTTTTATATTCTTCCTGACTTTTCTTTTTTTCTTCCTTGGGCATTTCTCTACTCTAGCTGTCCTCTTGGTTTCTCTTTTATGCCTCCCTTTCCTGCTGCATGCTTACACCCAAGAAAAGGACTGAGTTGCCACATAAGCATTAACGAAGAGAGCAGGAAGTTTGGTGTCATGTTAGGGGTTTCGTTCCTGGCTCTTTTGTCTGCCTGTCCTGCTCAGATAGGCTGTGAAGCCAACTGAGAAAGAGTATCCCTCTGAATGTGAAAGCCCAGATGCAGCCTGTGAGATTCTCCGAGTCACTGTATTTACTGCAATTCAGTATCTGCACACAGAATCTGATTCACTTGAGTCTATTTTACATGCGCTGGCACGTAGAATGACTAATTCAGAGCCGAGTTAATTCTGTAGAGGGGCTGACAGAGTCACAATTGCAGATTGAGAGTGTGTTGGGTACTACATGGTACTGCAGGCTAAATTAGGAGTACATTGACTCAAAAGGTAGCAGATTGCTACACAGAAAACATGGGCCTTGGAAAAAATTGCAAAATATTGCTCTGTATGGGGCATTTCTGATCACACAGTGATCACACACTTTTCCATAGCCTTCGGCAAAGGAGTGTTTCTTCTGTGTCCCACCTTTTATTCCTTTGATTTTGGTGACCAGTGGTTTTGCCACAAAAGAGCTTGCCTTGAATCACTTTAAAATCCTTATTGACAAAAATTTAAGGTATGTCTACATTATGCAATGTAGTGCAGAGATATCTGAATGAGTACTAAAGGAACTAGCTTGTTTAGACTATCAGCTGTGTTACCCTTTCCAGGAATTAGTCTCTGGCAAAGCTTAGAAAACTGTGACTGTCTCCATACTAGTTGGTATTACACAATACAGATGTGCCCTTCGGGTCTATAATGAATTCTTCTTCAACCTCCCTCTTCAGCAGATCCAAAACATTGCTGCTGAAGTCATTTCCTCCTTCATCCCTCCAGTCACAATATCAGAGAAGCTGTCTTGCTCTCTTCCTGTGACACACGTCACTCGGTCTCATGTGCTGAGGTCTTAGGTATGCTACAAGGTGCTGAGAAATGTTTTGTGGGTTGTGGTGTGGGAGGAGCACGCTGCGCTAGTCCATCAACTCTCCTGGAACGCAGCCCTCTAGTCTGGTCACCAGCGACTGCACAGGCTGGATTCAGCGCCCTGGATGGTCCATTGTTTGCTTTCCTCTCCCCAGAAGTCCACACCTGCAAGTCCTGCATAGCTGCTCCTGCCTGCCAGGCTGTGGGAGCTCTGCTGCCATGCCCACTGGCTCCCTCCACACTTTCTCTTCCAGGGGCCTTACTGCACACTGCTTTGCACTCCAGATTTTATCCCTCATCATACTGTACATTATGCTTACCTGCCCCCTCCTGTCCACTCGGCCCTTCCTCGCTTCTCATACTCCTTTGGGAAATGATCCTTCCTCTGGGAATTCTTGCTTCTTTTTCTTCACCACTCATTTTCTTCAGCTGCATTTTCTTCCCTGAACTATTGTTTCATGTTTTCCCTAGCACTCATTTATCTTGTGAACTTTCAGTCCTATTCTGTGATGCCAAACCACCATGGGAATTAACTGAATTAAGTATATATTTATATATACTTAAAGGGATAGGAAGAGATAGGAAGGAAGGGGAGGGCAAGGAAGGAGAGAGACTGCTGGCTGGTGTCAAAGCTGAATGCTTTCACATTGACAGTCACAGGATCCAAATCTGGTTTTTTAAACCACCCGTCCCACCTCCACGTACCAACACGTGCCTCTCACTTCTGCCTTGCTTTCTCTCCCAGTGCAGAGAGCCAGTTGTCTGCTGTTGCCAAGGAATAGACAGAGAGGGGTGCTGGGGGGAAGCAGGAGCTCTCTGCTTGAGATACAAGCAGGCACTGGAGGCAGCAGAAGTGGCGTTCAGCCGCTTGGGCAGTTGTTCCTGTTAGAACAGTATTCCTGAAAATTCCGGGGCAAAGGCGGGGGGGGGGGGGACGATAAGACAGACGAAAGCATCCTTTAGGCTGTATCTGCTTAACATTGGTAAATTTTCACCCACAAAGGTCAGCCCTTTAGGTCAAAGCATTGGAGATTTCAGGGTCCACCCACTTATGTAGACACCTTCACAGAAGTCCTCACAAAATGGTTGCATCTTTAGCAGCATCAAGTGGTGCGGAGCATTGTAAAAAAGCTATTTGCTCTAAATGAGATATTTGTGCAAGGAAGCACTGGCTATAGTAGGCTGGGCCAGGATGTTTTCAAAATCCATTTGATGTAAAATATATATTGATATATTTATACTAGATGATGTATTTCTAACATTAAATTTCCATCAAGACTGGAGAGGGCTCCGCAGTCCCTTGTTACAACCGTGATCGATACAGCCAGCATGTTCTCTTCTCTTTTGTGGCCATCCTCCAGAAATAAGCAGCCTTGCCTGATGAATCATTTGCTCTTAGCTGAGCATGAAGTAGCGTTACTATTTTGCCTGTGACGTCTTTATGTTAAAGATTCTGATCAACTGCTTTAATCGACCTGACCTTTCCGCTCTCAGCTTTTCTTGTGGAGCCAGCAGTGTTTGCTGGCTCCAAACGTAATTCTAGGGGGGTTGAAGGACATAATGCAGTGAGACAGCTGAGACAGGGTAAATTGTCTAGCAGAGCTAAAAGCTAAAAGGGGAGGTTTCTCTGAATAGGTCAGTAATTGTGCAGGTTGCAAAGGGAAGCTTTTCACACATTGCCTTGATTGCTGCCTTTGCACCATCTACTCTAGCCAGGAAGATTTGCAGTCTTCAAGGCAGCTTTTCTGAGCAAAATCTGACAGATGTGTCATGTTTTATATGCGAGTAATATCATGTGGAGGGCCTGGCTAATTTAAAATCTTGGTTTACTGGTGATAAAAAAAGGTGAGCTCCCCGCAACAGCATGAATTCTCAATTCCACTCCCTCACATTCACTTAACAACTCAGCATTTGCAAACTGGGGATTGAAACTAATTCTCTAATATGTCAACCAGTCTTACAGAAAACAAAAGCATTTTGTTTTACAGACTACCTACTAAAAATACACGACACCTTCATACTGTCTTACGATAGTGGATGGCAAATCTGGCTTTGATCTTTTTGTGCAAACAGAGTTGAGCAAAAGCACACATGCAAAGCGTTTGGGAACAAGAGGTACTGTAAGCCAAAAATGCCTACTTATTTGGTCTCCATTAATCCAGATATATTTACCCTCCTATCACCCGGCGAAGGTAGGAAAGTACCTGCATATTGTTAAGTCAGAGAGCTATTAAGTGGTTTGTCCAAAGTGACATGAGAAATCAGAGACAGAGTAAGAAGCTGAAGCCCAGCTGATTCTGTTAATACTGTTAACACTGTTAGAGGATCAAGTCATGTTCCTGCTCAGCTGATTAAGGGTATTTCATAACATGAAGTTAAACATAAGGATGGGTGAATTCATCCCAACATCGTGCCCGTAAGCTATTCCCTTAGTACCACCATGCCATCATGCAATATGGCTTTTAAGCATGGGTAAGCTGGCTTCATACTTCTGTTCTCTTCTCACCTAGGCTAATAAGCATGCATCATGCCCCTGT